TCGATCATCCACCACTACGATGGTATACTTGCTTTCACTGTCGCCATCGTTCGTTGGACTTATGCCCATTCTTTACCAGTCGTCATCTCGCCCTCCGAGAAGACTCTCCCGGCCAGGATGACCATGGACCTCATTCGTCGTCTCCAATTCGACGTCGCCCCGCAGATGTGAGCACTTTAGTTATCTTCTTTGATTTTCTTTACTGACTTTGCCCAAGCTTCACTCCTCGTTGCGTGTATGACGGCCGCAAGAACATCTTCAGCATCCGCAAGCTCCCCTTCGATACCGGCTCGCAGGAGTTCGACGTGACCTTGGCCGACGCCACGGCGAACACCAGTGGCAAAGGACCCAAGGTTTATAAGATTAAGCTCACTCATGTTGCCGAGATTAACCCCGAGTGAGTACCAAGTTATTTCCTGCCAGTCTTCTAACCCATCTTGCAGAGTCTTGAAACGTTTCATTGACGGCGACCAGTCTCACGACAACACCGTGCTCACCGCCATTACGGTTAGCGTGTCACTTGCTTCGACCAATATCTTTGTTCATTGTTTTTATCCGATTCAGGCGCTCAATGTTGTCATTAGGTATGTTTCTTTGCCTCTCGTATCTCACCCAGACTGACGACGCGCCGCGCAGAATGGAACCCTCGATGAATTACCCTTTCAACGTGCGGTCCTTCTTCACCAACCGCGAAACCAAGGACATCGGCGCGGGGTTGGAACTCTGTAGGCCTCCTCGTTATATATTTCACCTGCAATGCTTAACATTTATCAGGGCGCGGGTACTTTCAGTCCATCCGGCCTGCCATGGGCAGGATGCTCATCAACGTCGACATTAGCACGGGGACCATGTACAAACGTCAGGACTTTCGCATTTTTCGTTCGATCCACTGCTCACTGTCTCGTAGACGGACCGCTCTTGCGCCTCGCCCTCGAGTACATCGGCAAAAACGACCCGAACGCCTTGTCTCCCAAGCGCGGCTTCCCCGATCGCGAGCGCCTCCGCCTCCAGCGTTTCATCGGCGGCCTGCGCGTCCTGACCACCTCCGCTGGACCTGGCGGCGAGCAGACGCAGACGCCCCGTGTCATCAAGAAGCTCTCCTCCGCCGGTGCCAGCTCTCTCACCTTCCAAATGCGCGAAGGCCAAACGATGACCGTGGCGGACTACTTCCGAAGTACCCAAAACAAGCCGCTCCAGTTCCCGGATGTGATCTGCGCCGAGGTTGGCTCGGGCGCTCTCATCCCCTTGGGTACGACTCGCTCCTTTTTCTTTGCATTGGGTCCTCCGCTGACTGTTTCTTAGAACTGTGCATCGTCCCTCCTGGCCAATTAATGCGGAAGCAAGTCCCCCCCGAGAAGACTAAGGACGTTCTCGACTTTGCGACGAAAAAGCCAGGTGATCGTCTCCGGAGCATCGTCGGTGGCTTGAGCGTAAGACCGATCCAGTGTCTTCGTTTCCTTCTTCTAATGCTTTGCAATAGGTTCTCGCGTACGGCCAATCCGAATACGTCCGCCAGTTCGGAATGACGGTCGATCATGCCGCGGGGCCTCTGAAGGTCGCGGCAAGAGTCCTGAAGCCCCCGATGCTCAAGTATGGCCCCGGCTCGCGCCAGCTGACCATTGTATGCTTTCTCTTCCACGCTCTCGCATGCTGATCTCATCCCAGACTCCTCGCGACGGTGCCTGGAACATGGTCGACAAGCGGTTCTTCAAGCCCGTCCAGATAGACCGCTGGGTCGTTGTCATTTACGAGCGCCAAGTCAGCACCTCGTTGCCTTTTGCCCCCAAGCTGACCGTTCCATACAGGGCCGCTTCAACGAGGCCGCAGCGAACGACATGATCAATGGTTCGTCTTTTCTTCTTCGTTACTTCTCCCTCTCATTTTCCGACAGGATTGTGCTCCAGCTGCCGCGACGTTGGTATCAAGATGTCCCCGACGCCCTTCATCTTCTGGGAGAATGGCCAAGGCCGAATCGCAGACCGTAATCAATACTTGGTCTTGATCTTGAGCTTCCTACTTATAATGTCCCAGAGCTCAAGGCTGCCGGTGCCGCTTGTGCAGCCAAGATGAAGGCAGGGCCGAACCTCATGGTCGTCATCTTGCCAGAGGGCGGTAACGACATCTACACGTCCGTCAAGCAGTGCGTTTCATTCCTCTTGTTGTTTTCTGTTTCTTAATATTTTTTTTCAGCTTCGGAGACGTAACGGTCGGTTTTTCCAAGGCTATGACGCTCTACACCGGTTGACCTCTTGTATGCAGATGGGTGTCGCGACGCAGTGCCTCAAGTCGAGCAAATGTTTCCGCGCCAAGCCCCAGTATTATGCCAACGTCTGCCTGAAGATCAACGTCAAGGTATTTTCACTCCTTCACCTCCCAACCCCTTCCTGAACTTGACCTTAGCTCGGCGGTATTAATACCATCCCTGACCCTTCGTCGGTTTCTGTCCTCACGGACCCCCACAACCCCACGATTGTCATGGGTGCGTCTTTTTCATTTACGTCATGCTCACGCTTATACTGCCTTATTCTTCCAGGCGGTTCGTCTCGTATTCTTCAATCTTTTTTATACTGCTGACCATCCAATTTTTGAATCCTCCAGCTGATGTTTGTCCCCTTTCTTTCTCTTCGTTTAACACGTACTGATCGCGCATCCAGGTAATCCACCCCGCGCCTGGCTCAGATGGTCGTCCGTCTTTCACCTCCCTCGTCGCCAACGTCGACTCGGACACCGCCAAGTACATTGCCGCCTCTCGCGTTCAGACTTCTCGCGTCGAAATGATCGAGGAGCTGGAGTCGATGAGCAAGCACGTTCTCTCCATGTATATCCGCTACAGGGAGATGGCAGAAAAGAAGGCGCGCGGCGCCTCTGCACCCAAGCGCATCATCTTCTATCGCGGTATTTTGTCCCGCGCTGGTTCTCTCTTCATCGACTTACCTCGCTTCCAGATGGTGTCTCCGAAGGCCAGTTCAAACAAGTTCTTGAGCAGGAACTTCCGCTCATCAAAAGTGCGCTACCCTCCTTTGTTTACAGAAGTGTTCGCTCACTCATCCGCAGAGGCTTGTGCGTCGCTGAACATTGACCCGAAAATCACCGTCTTGGTTGTCGGCAAGGTACATCTCCCGTTCGCAGTCCTGAGCTTCCGCTGAATCACTCCTCGCAGCGTCACCACGTCAGGTATCTTCTTTCTTCTTTCCAATATCCGTTTGTCCAACCTCTTCCTCCCTTCAGGTTCTTCCCGCAGAGCGAGCGCGATGGGGATCGTTCGGGCAATTGCCGCGCGGGCACCGTCGTCGATAGAGAAGTCTCTCACCCGACTGAGTTCGACTTCTACCTCCAGGTACGCTCTCGCCTTTGCCCGCATTATTATTCCTCGTTTACCTCGATACAGTCGCACGGAGGTCTGCTCGGGACTAGTCGTCCGGCCCATTATTCGGTGCTCTACGACGTGAGTCTGCAGTGATCTTTGTGCGCCAACAACTGATCCACCGCTAGGAAAACAACTTCAGCGCCGATGCGCTGCAGTCTCTGTCCTTTGCGCTTTGCCATGTATACGCCCGCTCCACGCGCTCCGTGTCCATCCCGGCGCCCGTGTACTGTGCGTACCCTCGTCCCATCCCCGTCCCCGTCTTCCTATCTTGAATTATCTCTCTCAGACGCGGACATCGTCTGCTCCAGGGCGAAGAACCACTACGATCCCCAGGGCACGGTCGATTTCTCCGACTCGGCGACCCAGGTCGACGACGGGCAGGCCGCTAGCTCGCTCGAGGCGTTCAGGCGTGGATTCAAGCCCCTCCACCAATCGCAGTCGACGCTCATGTATTTCTCTGTGAGTCTACCTCGATCCGCCGCCGCCTTCCTAACTGACGCCGATGCTCAGTAATATAATGCAACTATCTACTGATCTAACGTTGTCCCGTGTACTACATATTACCTACTGAATCAAATGTATTGTGCTTTCCCCTTTGTCGGCTGTCTTCTCTCCGAATCCCGTATGACGAACGCATTCGAGGTGGGGGCACTTGAAGCTGCTGTCAGTCTAGGCTGATTGGACCGGTTTGCTCGAATCCGACCTGCGCTCGATTCCTCCCTCTAAATGACGTCACGCGTCGAGCCCGCTTTGGGTTCAACGTGTCAACCATGCCTTCCTTCAACTTCCAACTCCCCGACTTCCTCCTGGTGGCTGCCAGAGTTCCAATCGTTGCGGTTGGCTTGCCGCTTGGTCTTGGTCTTCTCAGCGGGTATCCTACAGCTCAAGTTGTCCGCAGTGACTGGTACAAAGTGAGAATCCGTCCTCCTAACCCAGTGTGAGCTGGAAAATTCGCCAGAAACTCCGCACCCCTCCCGGTCGCCCACCTCGCCAGGTCTTCCCCATAGTCTGGCCTCTCCTGTACATATGTGAGCATAAGGTTCAGACACGGTCCCTCGAACTGGAAGATGACCTGAGCGGCCATCAGCCATGGGATGTGCTTCGCATCTCACAGTCAAGGCTCTGGACAATGCGCTTTCTGCTTCGGTCAGGTAATGGATCTCATTATTCAAGCCAACGGAAGGTACCCATCCCTCAACTAGATCCGATTGTATGCTGGCCCTCTCCCTGTACTATACTCAGCTTGCTTTGAACATTCTCTGGACCCCATTGTTTTTTGGCGCGAAGAAGGCAAGTGATTCGGCACGCGAACCTCGGGACCAGCTAAGGACATGTAGACTGGCATTGCTTTGATTGACAGTGCATTAATGGCAGCGACAACCTTCTACATGACCGTAAACATTTTTGCACCGTTTGCATTGTGTTTTCTGAGTGGATTCATTCTAGAAACTGGTTGCTCCATTGTCCCCTCAAGCGAGCTACTTCCTCTTGCCGTATTGCGCATGGCTATCTTTTGCAACATATCTCAACGGGGGAATCTGGTGGTTGAACCGGAGGGAGCGCGCATCGGAGAAACAAGAGTAATTTCGAGCAGAAAAAGACACAATACCGAGCCAAGAAAACAAAAACACATAGGTTTTGCCCGGAATCGAACCGGGATTGTCAGAAGCAAATTCGGACGACATCAGAATCTGAAGGGCTAACCCCTACCCCACAAAACCAACGGGGCCAGTATGTTCAGATGGAGTCCGAGTCTTATGCTATTCGGTGGTCCTTTTGTGACGATTCCGCTCCAATTTGGGAGAATTCTGAGGCTTCTATACGTGTGATGTCTTCCCCGTATCCAAGTCGTTGCGACACTACGCTAGAAGAGGAGAACATTCGGGCGCAACAATTTTTAATTGATCTCTGCCTACCGATTTGTTGTGCCAACTTGATTATGCTCCGCGGAATGTGATGCAGTGTTGTGCCCGCTTGTTTTTTGCTATTCCGATCACATCCTTGGGAATCAGGGACATATGTTTTGTGAAGCAACAGCATTCCGCTGCTCAATAACATGGTCCGCCTCCGACCATATGTCTGAACGGCCAAAGTACCGACCCTCCCAGTGCGTTGTAGCATCTTGGGGTGCGCACATCACAACGATGCGAGAATCGAACGTGAAGTCATTGTCTTGTTCCAAATCTTGAACGACGACAATCAACACCTGGGGAAGAGGACAGTGGGAACACACGACCGCCGCATCCCCGGGGGCCGATTTCCGAGGAAGTCCAGGCGACGTGAGTCAGCCGGGGAAGTCGTCCGAGGTTGGCTAGACCGCTTTCTGGAAATGAGGTTTCAAAAGGTTTCCCAGATAAGGAGATCTATGTGGGTGAGGGACAACCAAGTCGACGGAGTGATGAGGATTTCGGAGAAGAGTCTGAACTCCACGGAGAGTCGGTGAAGTGGAAGCCGACTAAGAAGGACGGGGAGTTGCGGGGCTGGTTCAAATTCGACCCAACACCCGAGAGTCTGCACGCCGCGGCGAGTGGACAGTATTTCGCAAGCCTGTGCTCCCGTTACGGTGTAGGGAAGAGCAAGCTTATTGATTCTCAGGAAGAAGTCCGGAGCTCGAGGTTTCGAATTGTAATGAATGAAGTCCAGAAATTTAGCAGCGTGCTCGCGACCGGCGTCGGTGATGGTGACCATTTGATAGAATTCGAGGTCGATCCTTCGCATCGGCCGGCTTCAATATTTCGGGAGAGATAACTGAAACAGGAACACGCACCAATGACCAAAAGTGAAAGCGCCGGGCTACCAGGCTAAGGGTTAATTTAAGGGCAGCGTTCCGATTACTTCCAATCAGTGCGGTCAAGAAAATTTCGCTATCTAGCTCAGGAGGTAGTTTAGGCATGGAGTATAGTGGAAAAGACATATAGAACAGATGCGAAGGCCGTCTTCTATATATGGCGTGCATTGACCCGCACCTGGTGAGCGGAGCCGACATCATCATTGATGCAACGTTGATGATAAGTCGCTGGCGCACCTCGAAAAGGTACAACATGCTTTCTTACGCCGTCTACTTGGCCTTGGGGCATACTCAATGCGCGCACCGCTTTTCACTGAACTGGGGCTGGTCCCCCTGCGCTACCGGCGTCTCATCTTGGCCCTCCGATACCTGGGATACCTTATAAATCTGGCTGCTACCCACTATGCCAAAGCTGCCCTTGAAGACTCATACCAGCTGTACTTAAAGGGCTGCCAAGGCTACTGGATGGATCTCGTGTATGCGCTTCAGAACCTTCGGTTTCCAGTGACACTACCAGCACTACCTGAACTGACGCCTGAAAAATGTACTGCATTGACTAAAGAGGTACATATTGCGGCTATGAGGCATCTCGATGCTGAGGTGAACTCCTCGACGCACCTCTATATGCTGCATGACAGGTTAGAACTGCTGGAAGATGAACCACCGAAGAAAATGACAGCATTTCTCAGGCACTACCTGGTGCTTGTTGTTAATGCTAAGCACCGAAAAGCTCTGACACGACTTCTTGTAAGCCAACACCCACTTGCGGTTGAACGAATGCGTTACAAACAACGGAGACATCGGGTAATTGTGCCCCGTGAGGACCGTCTATGCCGTTTTGGATGTAACCATATTGAAACGGTGGAACATGCACTGTTTTTCTGTCCACAGGCAGGCGAGGAGCTTCTACAATACCGCAATGCATACACAACAATCATGCAGACAACTGACCCGCGGATTGCGACAGTTGCACCGTGGAATGCAACTAATGTTCTACGCTCATTAATATTTCGAAGAGAGACTGTCTGTCAATCCGCCAAATTTGTCTGCAAGGTGTTTGCAATCTTTGATGCGGTACCCATGGTATGGCCAGATGGAATGTAGATACCCCGGTTCGTGATTTTCTTCTTAGGCTAATGTGTCAGAACCCGAGATCTACCACCTCCTGCGTGGGGTGAGCTCGTTGGAGGGGATGGCATGCTGGCGTAGTCGGAGGTACATTATTTAGAGGCTAATGTACTACTGTACGCTACAACCTGCCACGTTCCGAAATGGGACCACGCTGGGCTTAATATTATCCACAGTCTTATCCAAACAGTAAGTAATTTAAAAAGGTGTTTCAAATTGGCAACTGGTCTGTGCGCAATTTGGTGAAGGGAATGCCATTGAGATCTTAGATTTTCGTTTTAGATTGGATGCACAGATTTTCAAAGGGAAACTTTGACATTCGCCCATTCCAAAAAAAAAAAAAAAGACGGTTCGAAGAGTCGATTGTGGGATAATTCTATTTAACAACCCAAGAACAACCCATGTTGCTGAGGTTATTCGGGGGTTGCTGGAAAATATATTTTATTTTTGGATGCCAACAAAAATTGATCAGATCAGAAACTTTGACCGCCGTTCTCGCAATATTATTATTTGGAGTCCAAAGAAGAGTATACACGTGCGTCTACCAGCCCATATCTATCGGAGCACCTTCACACTGCCTCTCCAATTTTCCCTCAATTTTACATCTTGATTTGATAGTTTCTGAGGAGTTTGGCATGTACAAACGGTAAAATGCCTCGAATGCCATCTCCCCTGGACATTAGAACGGCCAGTAAAATTTAGAGGGTCAGCAGGGGTCAGCTTATATGATCTCCAACGTGCGTGATTTTTTTTAAAAAAAATTTTGGCTCTTTTAGAGCATTATTTGTACCCGAGCAATTCCCCGTCCCGCCCCTTCCCGCCACGCCCGCCATCAGTGACCATCAGATCTTGGCTTAAGATCACAAAGGTTTTAAAAGTTTTAAATAGAATATCTTTTCCAACAACCGGGTTGTTCTCAACAAGGGGGGTTGTTAAATAGAATAATCCGTCGATTGTGCCCGGATCTAGTGGATGACATGCGCGCGTGTGAGATAATTGGAGAAGAAAAAATGAAGACATGAGTGACTTTGGAACGTCGACATGGAGGACTCGGAGGTTCAGGCGCGGTCGGCTTTGCGACCCGGTTGGAACAAGGTCGGATTTAAGGGCCGATGACTCGGTGATCAGCAAACCCAAAAAGGGAGAAATCTGAATCTAACCGAAAAGGCATGTCTGTCTTTCTGCCTTTGCTTGACGAACAGGAGGGTGAGCTGTTGAGTGCTCTCAGCCGCATCGGTCCCATCGTCTTTCCTTCGTTGCACTTGTCCGATCTTCCGCTTCCCGCACATTGCTTCGTCCTCGTCGATCAGTCCCGCCCTTTCGTTTTGGATGAAGCCATCTCATGGTTGGATAACGGCGTAGACAAGCTCATCGTCCCGCTCGCATGGGCCAAGGAACTAATCGAACTAATCTCCTCCGAAAGACTACTTCTGTTACTCGACGTCGGGAACATCAGTGCTGTGTCGGACACAGTGCGGAATGGGGTTTCTGGTGTACTGCTCAAGACGCCCACCGTCGACTTGGATCTAATTTCATCAATATCCAAATTTTTCACCGGATCGTCCATCCACGTCCTATCCAGCGCCTCTGTGACACCCACGGCTTCCTTGATTCGTGGGTTGCTTGGAATCGGGGCAACTCCAGTACTCCTGGGTTCGCAACTCACCCTCTCAGCGACCTCGGCCTCTCAGATAAATATCGCGGACGCGTTCCTCGCTCCCATTGTATCTGATCGCAAGGATGGCTTGTTCCCTACCGTTGTTTCCACCGAAACTGGCCATTCGCTCGGCCTCGTTTATTCCTCTTCCGAGTCGGTCAAGGAGAGTATGTTAACTGGAAAAGGTATCTACCAGTCGCGGAAACACGGATTGTGGAGGAAGGGCGAGACTTCTGGCGCCACCCAGGACGTTGTCAGCATTCGACTGGATTGTGACTCGGACAGTCTCGAGTTCCGCGTTGTACAGCACGGAGAAGGATTCTGTCACCTCAATCGACAGTCTTGCTTTGGTGAATCGAGTGGATTGCCCGCGTTGGAAAGCACACTCCGATCCCGTTTCGAGTCGGCGCCGGAAGGCTCGTACACGAAACGGCTCTTTAGCGATCCCGAGCTGCTACGCTCGAAAATTATGGAGGAGGCCGATGAGTTGTGTCGGGCAGAGGAGAAGGCAGATGTGGCTTTCGAAGCCGCTGACCTATTTTATTTCGCGTTAACCAAATGCATCGCGGCCGGGGTCGGAATTGCCGACATCGAGGCGTCTCTGGACAGGAAAGCGAGACGAGTAACGCGGAGGGCGGGCAATGCTAAATTAGAGTGGTTGAAGAAGCCAAATGTTACTGCCTCGCAACCCGTCGTTCCTGCACCGCACCCCGAGGAGGAGGATACACCCATTCGTATGCGCACATCCGACCTAGCCGCAATCTCTCCCGACGAACGCAGCGCCCTCCTCCGCCGACCAGTCCTCAAATCGGACGAGATGATCACCCGGGTAAGGCCTATCGTCGACGACGTCCGTACCCGTGGGGATGCCGCGCTCCTCGAGCTGACCGCCAAATTCGACAAGGCGCAACTAGCGTCCACGGTCGTGTTCCCGCCGTTCGCCCCGGAGACCATGGTCGTGGACCCCAAGGTCGGCGCCGCCATTAAAATTGCGTACGCGAACATCAAAAAATTCCATGAAGCGCAGGCGGATACGACGACGCTGCGGGTGGAGACGATGCCCGGTGTCGTCTGCTCGCGCTTCGCCCGCCCCATTGCGCGTGTAGGACTCTACGTGCCGGGCGGCACCGCAATCCTCCCCTCAACAG